ACTTGGCATTTCAGCATGACCCTGTATTTTAGTGCAATTTTTTTTTTTTTTTTTTTATGGCCAAGTAGTCCTTGTCACAAGAACAGCAATGCTTATAAACATAATTTTATTTATACTGTATCAGCTTAGATAACCATGCAGCAATATAATGATTCTTCACCCTTAATTATTGTTTGAGGGTCTCTTGTGACGGGCCATACATGTGAAAATGTGAGTACAGTGGAAATGCAACAGCTCTAGCACAAATCCCAAGGGCAACTGATGACTCCCTCGGCCTCCCCTTGCTGAACTGATGAGACATTCAGACCAATTGTGAAAGTGAAATAAAAGTTTTCAAATTCATAAACCTCCAGTTTTCTTCCAGTTCAGACCCCGCAGCTATATTAAATAAAAACGTTTGTTTATTTAAGAGATTGGGCAAGCAACAACAGATACCTTTTATTTAGAAATAATGAGGAAAATCACTTTTAAAAATTTTTTAAAAATTGTATTTGATTTTTTTTAGGAGGGGGTCCAGCCGTGACAGCATAATTATTTAGTGATATCAGGCATGAAGGGGAAAAAAAAGGCAGACCTCAAAACCCTGCTGTACCCCAATACAAACATTCTTGTCTCTTAAATGCACCATTTAAAATGGTATCAAGGTATTTTAATAACACGTATTTGTGTATATTAAGGTTGTTGTTTTTTTATAATGAGAATTGTGGGGTCCCAGTTTACAGGTATAGGTAAATGTTTATAGGATTAGAATTTTGACACATTAGCTTTAGGATGCCCTCAATGGATTCTTTGCGGTGTAGGAAAGCATGTTGTGATCTTTTTAACAATTCTCTCTTTAAACTTTATTTCTGTTCCTGGTTTCGCAACACATGTAGTTTCATGTGCTTTCAGTTTTGCATAGAAGTCAGAAAATCTGTTGTAGAGTATGGATATTGGCATGCCATTTAAGATGATTCCAAAAGATATACAGAGGAAAGCTACAAAACGTCCCAAAGCTGTATCGGGAACTGTATCGCCATATCCTACTGTAGAAATGCTTACCTGAAAAAAAGAAATCAACAATTTTATATAATCTAACAGATAAATCTCAGTAATATAACAAAGGCTACAATAAACATTCCTACATGAACAGTCTTAAAGTAAGCAATGGGATAACCTGATCCAAAATGTAACTATGCATCTATATTATTCATTTCACACAACATATTTTGGTGAGTGTCCAACCAAATAAACTGACAAAAGCAATAAATGACAGACACCCTTTATGCTGGCCATACACTGTGCGAACTTCAGCCAGATCTTGATGAACCTGAACTTGCCGAAATTTGTTCAGTGGGTGGCTCCGTCGGAAGCCTTCCATCTGGTATCTTTCGATCAGAGATTTGAAAGAATCGATCGGAAATTTTTTTGGCAAACAGTGAGGACAACCAATCGGTATTCTGACAGTGGCACGCCCGCCACTGTCAGAATACAATAGCCCAGCAGAGGATCCGTCCATCTGCACTGTTTAGGCCGCAGGTTGAAGGCTTGTTCACACCATGTCCAGACCAGAACAGTTTTTGTCCACACCTGAAATGCATCCCAATGTATTTCTATGTAATTTCTGGGCTCTTCAAATCTGTGGGGACTGGAACCAGACCCAGATCTACTCAAGATCCGTTCCAGACATGGTGTGAACAAGAACCTGAACAACAAAAATAGAACAGTTTATGGCCAGCTTAAGGCTATGTTCACACCATGTCTGGAGCTGATCTGGAAACGAAGTGCAGTGCATTTTTACCGTGATTTTGCCATGTTCCAGTGCTTTAGCTTAAAAAGGTGCAATCCAGTGCGTTTTGCATGCATTTGCATTTTTATGTGTTTCCATGTATTCCAGACCAGAGAAAATGAGCAGTACTTTTTTTGTCTGGACCGGAACGGTTGGTGTGAACAGAGCCCATAAATACTATAGGGATACATTTGGATGCTCTTTTGGTCCAGGAACAAACTGTTCTGGTCTGGACATGATCCGGACATGGTGTGAACAAGCCCTTGAATAAAATAGCCGTTTGCTAAAAAAACCACTTGACTACCACAATAAAAAACAAAAAAGTGGAATACTATATTTAACAGAGTACAATATACTAAAAAAAATGCTGAAAAAAAAGACATCAATATGAAATATGCACATTCATTCAGATCATGTGGCTATACCTAAAAAAAAAAAATCAATCTGCATAGGCATGAGATGAGCGAAATGGCTGAAATTCCATTTGCCTAGAGTTCGTTGAATCCATCAGAAAATTCAGCAAATACAAACGGTCAAGTCAATAGTGGGGCAATCTTGATGGCCAGTAATGCCCTCTGGAGGGCTGCTAGGCAAGCTGTTGATGGCATGGAGAAATAGCATGAAGACAGACAGCCATCAGTGACCTTTACCAATGCAAAAAAAAACAAGACATGGAGAAGTGGCCTTTTCATATGGTTTCATAAGCGACACCGAAAATATACAAAACCTTTAATTTACAGGTTTGTGGATGGCTTTATATATATATATACACACACACACACACACACACATACACATCATCATCATTGATTTTCTATATATTCATTTGTTCAGTTTTGGAATATACACAAGCAGACTTATTTGCTGAACATATGATCTTCCTCTATTAAGTTGGTAAAGAGGGTGGGGACAACTGACATTCCTAATAACTGAGGAAGACTGTGGTGGTCGTTTTTGTGCAGAATATGCTAAACAAAGTTTATGAAGTGTTTACAAACTATGAATGGTATCTCTTTATTGTAATATTTCTTGATTAGGTTATTAATATGAGAAAGAACATTGCATTGTATATAACTATATTGGTACATGCCACATTTGAATGTTGCAGTCCCTCCCGCCCATGGGCAGGGGTGTGGCAATGGCTCCCTACAACCAATCAGGTCTTGCTGAGCACATGACAAAACATGTGCGTGCTCACCACACATCTGCAGGTTGGTTTAGATGTAACCATGACATTCCTTTATCAGAAGAATATGGCTTTATTTCATTTAATCTTTATTGTCTTCTGGAACATCTTCACTATGTCATGTTTGATGAGTTTATGATATGCTTTTATTCATGTTATGGCAATGATATACACGGTGTCCTCATGGTAAATTACAAAGTCTTTGAATGGTTTCTGGTGGGAACATGATGTCACGGTGATGTTAGGGGGGTGGTGGGAGTGGTTTTCTATTCATTTGCACTGTTGGTTTGGCTATATAAGATCGTTTTTTCTTTGTTCTTTGTCATTTCAAGCCTGATGAAGGGGACCCTGTGTGGCCCCCGAAACTTTGCTATTTGTTTACACATGAAGCGTCAATAAACAGACGTGTTCTTCCCTGTAATATGGTGTGCTGGTGACATCTTTAACAAGTTTCTCTCGAACGCATGTTCAAGGAACGCATACATTGCACATGACATGCACCTGGTTGCATACCCACTCATGGAAGACATTATTTTATTCCACCCTTACTATTTATTTTTATTTTTAGTGTATATTAGGGATTATATAAGATTAATTATTTAACTTGTACATTTACATAACTTTGTATATTTTGCTTCATGCCATTTATCTTTTAATCATTTGTAACTGAGTTTTAAACACATTTTTGAGTTTTATGCAAGAACGGAAGCAATTTTCGCTTTTGATTTGAGTATGATATATAAAAAATCATTTTCTATAGGTACAGAGCCAAAAACTTTGCATATTCTCTGATGCTTCTGTCAAAGCAATAGCAGCTGTTGCCCACTCAAACACTGAAGATGTTACAGCACAATGCCATGTTGGATTTGTCATGGGCAAAGCAAAAATAGCTCCACACCCAGAGCACACTATCCTTGGACTAGAACTTTGTGTTGCAGTATTAGCTGTTGCGTTGGCAGAACTTATTACCTCAGAAAAGAACAGCAATGTCGTGTTGGGCTACACCTACAATGAGACCAGACAAATCTCTACTCATGTTAACAACAAAGTACTACAGATCAGGAGATCCACTTGCCCAACACAATAGCACCATGGTCTCAAGGCTCACAGTCCTGCAGACCATGCCGCAAGTCATCCTAAAAACATAACATGGCCTGCAGAGCCCTTTCTCTTATATGATACAGGACAGATTGTCCCCCAGAGTGACACATTTGAGCTGGTGGATGCAGACTCAGATGCTGGGGTCCGTCCTGAGATCTCCACACTTCAAGATGTGTAGATTGGCAATCAACGTAAATTTCACAAATGCAAGAGCTGGAACTCATTCCTTCAAGTTGTTGTTTGACTTGTTTACATTAGAGGTAACTTACAGGGAGACAGCCACCACCTCAAAGTGACAATGCTGTACCTTGGACCAGTTGTAAACTTATTTTGTTTTCTCCTGAGAGTTAAAATAGTGGTATCAGTTTATACCAGACGGGTGTGCTGGCCACTACTAAACCACAGACCCAGGAATGGAGATTTCATCCCTCCCAATTCTCTTAGAAATCTCCTGGTTCCAGGATCCCAAGCCAAATCCAGAAAACCTGTGAAGAACTGCAAAGTCCGCTCTTTCCTAGTAAAAACGTGCTTTCTGCAACCGCTCAGCTACTCTGGCCCCATAGGCCCAGATTTATTGACCTCGCTGCCTTCTCAAAATCAGCCACTAGGCGGCGCTATAGATAAACATTTATTTTGCAACAGAACAAACTGATTTTCTATGGTATGTTCTCAGCCCATCAAGAAAGGAACAAGTGTATTCTGGGAATTCAGAACCGAGAAGATAATCTGATGCCACCCTAAAGGGGGTGTCTGGAGTAAATGCCCAGATTCCCCATTTGGCAGCATCGCTGGTAGGGAGGAACTTTGCTTCTTTTTATATTTGTGAGCAATCAGTTAATTTACATGTTCATCTATTGACTGTATGTTTTCGTGTTCTTTTTCACCAGTTTCACCACCCTGTTTAGTTAATAAAGCTTCAAGATTTCATCTAGTCTGGCTTATTGCAGAATAGGTTTAGCTGCATGTCGAGCTATACACAGGCCACAGGGTAATGTGTAGCCGCGACAGAACATTCACATTCACATTCAGAACCAGTGCGTTCCAGCACGGTTAGTGGCTGGAACACACTGGATCGCATAGAGCAAGCCTCCCCGCATTCTGGGGCGGGAGGGAGCAATTGCAAAAAAATAGTGCATACATTTTGGTGAGGGTAAATGTACTGCGGGTAGGTGGCGATTCTGCGGTGCCATTGACGTTAATAGCACCCCCATTCCCCTTCCCACTGTATATAATGTGAACAAGCCCTAATTTGTTCATGGCAAAAGACAACTGACTTTCTTAAAAGTTATTTAGAATTCAAAGGCCTACATTTAAATAGCTTGTATATATAGAGAAATATAAGGTTAAAAGCAAACAATCTGAACCAAATAATCTCCGAATACAGCAATATTTAATATGTGTCAGGTGTCACAGAGAGATGAAATATTATCTGTAGTACCCATTATGTCACAAAAGCATGACACACTGAGCGCAATTTATCAAAACTGGAGCACACAGAAACAGAAGCAGTTGTCCATAGTAACCACTATCAGCTTCTCTCTTCAGTTTATCACTTAAAGCAGATCTCCAGGAATTTTAAAAAGTAACCCTTGCAGTGGGACTACACCTGCGCTGAAAGGGTTAACTTCTCATTTTTCTCTAGGGGACTGAATAAAAAAAAGATATACTCACCTGATCCATGGTCCTGCGGCAGTGATCACGCACTTCTATCCCCCCTCCACTCCGCCTGTGGCATGTCACTCTGCGTCCTCATGGCTAATGCACTGTAGTAGACGTGATGACTCACAGGATCTTAAACGGCCAAAGTTCAGGGGACAAGAGGCTGCAGGGACCAGCCAGGTGGGATTAAGGATCGGGTGAGTATTTCTTCTTTATTCGGTCCTCTAGATAAAAATGAGCAGTTACCCCATGCAGTTGGGCTACCACCAACTTTTAAGATTCCTGGAGATCTATCTTTTCATTTTTTCAATGCATATAGCAGAAGTTGCTTGGTTACTATGGGCAACTGCTCCAGATTCTTTCCAGTTTTGATTAATTTCTCTCATTTTATTTGGGATAATTTATTAAAGTCTTGTCTTAATAATAATAATATTTGGAACATAGAGAGATATCTCTACACACAAGTTTCTAAACTCTATTAGTAGGGATGCACTGATACCGATACCGAGTATTTGGGTGACTCGCCCCAAATGCTCCCGATACTTATCCAATACCGCAACTTCTGTTATCAGGAAGCTGGGCTGTGAGTCATTACATGCCGTTCGGCTTCATGATTGGCCGGGGAAGCCAGCTCGATAC